GAAGAAAATGTTACCTTGCCTGCCAAGTRGGGCAATAAAATAAATTTGTTTTGTATGCTGAGTGGAATTTTTTAATGCCACTAAATGAAAGCAAAAGAATCAGGATCTCTCCTCAGGAGTTCACAGATAGAATGGGTACAGATACAGCAAAAGTAACAGATTGAGAGAACTGAGAAAAAGAACTCGCCCTGAGCTCCTCTTCTCCCACTCCTCCTCCTCAGCATCATTCAGCTTCCTGTTTTTAAAGCAAAATGGGATTGTTCTCATGACTAACCAGCACAATCCTTCCAAAGCTGTTAAATAACAGCATTTTTGGCAGAAGTTACTATATATCTAGATTATGTAAGCAAAATACAGATATTACATGAGGCAGGGTAGTTGCATTTCCATACATCAATTTGGCCTTTAACTGACTCTTTGTTCTGAATCTACAAATAGCAACTGGAAATCAGTTTAGCTACAGGGCAGCAGGACTGTAAATGTAGATTGCTGAAACAGGTATAAACCTCTGCAGTTCCTATATAGCCAAAATGAAAAAAAAAAAAAAAAAACAAACTTGCAGACTGAAATGGTGGAATCCTATCTATCAACTTACATTTCATACATCATCAGCACAACTGCAATTGCAGTTGTTTCAAGAGAGTTCAAGCGAATGTCATTTTGTSTCACTGATGCCAACTTAAAACACTTATAGCGCAATGGATAAGCTTGTGTTTTGGACTGTAAAAAAWCAGAAATATCATTTTACAAAAAGAAAGAATCCTGGAAAATTTGTGTATCTTAGTCTTCAGTGACTGTAAGAAATTCATTACTTCAATGAAAATGGCAGTGCAACATGGGCATCTCTTGCTTTAGGACAGCTTAGAGGAAAAGGAATGCAGTGAGTGACAAGCAATAGAGGGTTCATGAAAGGAATGGGCCACTCAAGCAAAATCAAGATTTGCCTTTAGTGTATTTACACACTGGAACTCGATTCTCAGCCCCTCTCTGGCTCCCTGCATGGAGGAGCCAAGTGCAGTGCACTGCCAACTTTACACCTTCTCTATTCTTTACAGAGGGTTTGGTGRAGGTGCAGGAGTGTGGAATGGGCATGATACCAAAAATCATCCACTCCTTTGCTGTTAGTGAAACTTGCAGCAGTTCTGAGGTTCTCCACACCAACTTCCCCAATTGCTTTGATATAAAGTGTCTCAAAACCACAGCAGAAGGAAACTGCTTTTCTCACCTCAGATGCACCAAGTGCAGCAAGGGTTGAGCTCTTGATGAATATAAGATGTTGGCACATCTGCAAAGATTTATATAGTATCATGTAGATTTGAAGAAGCAGGATAAAATACTTTATAAATAGAAACACTGAACGTATGGGTTAATAGTTCTCCATCATCAAAGCATCAGCAAAATCTTAATGCTGGGACTGTAGACACTTAGCAGAGGAAGTGGTGTCTTTTAAGAATTAGCCTGGTGAATCTTTACTTTTCAAAACACTGTATTAATTAATAATTTAGTTGTGAGCAAAAGACATAAATTTCACAGTGACAACATTGTAGACAACAATAAAACACAAAAGCACACAACAGAAATGTGAAGCAAATAGATGAAGAAAAGATACAAGTGAGGTACCTTCAATTATAAGACAGGCACAAAGTAAAAGGCCTAAAGAAAGTCATCAGTGGGATGGATAGGTTGTGTCCATGACAAAAACAGAATCACAACAAAGATGTTTAAATTATATCCATTCTGACTGAAATAAGAGCTGGTAATAAGGACTGATAACCATGCAAGGAACATTTTAGAAGGTATACTGTTTCTAGAACTGATCCCCTTATTGCAATCTATTCAACTAAATACCTTCATGAGCYTTATTACCTTAGTCTTGTAAGGTGCTATGGATTCAATTTTTTGGTTACTGTCTTTGGCACTGTCTGATACATTTGCTCCATAACTTATGGGGTGTAAAATAAAATCTTTCATTCACAAGCACATTTTCTCAGTCCATCTGCAGCTGCAGTGAAACTCACAAGCCTATCCATACACAGCCACAGACGTCTTTTTCACTAAGTACAGTCTTCCAAGGTGTTGCTTTTCTTACAAAGCTGCATGGAGTGAGAGTAGCTTTACTTGAACTCTTTAGATSCCTTAAGAGCACAAGCCTGCTTTCCTTTTTTAGGTCAGATTCTAACAGAAACCGACAGGAATTTGGCCTCAATAGCTTCCACAGGATCAAGGTCTGGTTCAGTAAAGGATTAAGGCTATTGTTGCTGAGCACACACTGCCAGTAAGAGACCTTTCCTTTTCTCTAACCTTTATTCTTTGACTGAGCCTCACACGGAACTCTCTAAATAGAACTTAGGTTACCATGTAAATGCTTGTCCTTGGATGCAAACATGTCACGTTTATTAAAACCAGCGCTAATTTTGGGTAGGCTTTTCTAGGCTTTTAGAAAATAATAAGTGATTTAACCAAATGCAATTTTTAGTATTCCTGATTACACTTAGAAATCAGTATTTTTAGAGTTTTAATCTCTTATGTTTTCTGATGCTTGTGACTTCTGGGATTGAAATTCAAAAAGAGCAGCCAAACAGCATCCTTAGGTTTAACAAGCCCTTGGCTAGACAGTTTGCACCTGYAGTCATGTTGAAACATTTAATTTTCCATTTATGTGCGATGACTACCTGGACACACAGCCCCTCTCCCCCCATCTAAATTAACACCATTCCAGCCTAAATGATGTGTGGATGATTGTTTCCCATCCTGGTTTATGAAAAAATTTAATATAGCAGGCTTCTCAATTAACAACAGCAGACAGCACAGGTCTCCTTCCTGCACCTCATCTACAGGAGCAGCTCCACTTTGGGACAGTCTGTCCCCCTGCAGTCACATCAGGGGGGTAGCATCCAGGTCCATCTCCGCCTGTGGGTGACCAGCCAGACTTCTGCAGCCACCCAAACACAGCTCCAGGCATCAGAGCTGAGATTCCCCTGCAGCCCCTGGAGCAGACCATGGTGAGGCAGCTGTGTCCCTGCAGCCCATGGAGGTCCAAGGGAAGCACAGATCCACCTGCAGCCCATGGAGGTCCAAGGGGAGCAGAGATCCACCTGCAGCCCATGGAGCACCCCACACCGGAGTGGGTGAGTGCCCAAAGGAGGCTGTGACCCTGTGGAAATCCTCACTGGAGCAGGCTCCTGCAGGACCAGTGAGATGAGCCCACACCAGAGCAGGTTTGCTGGCWGGACTTGTGACCCTGTAGAGGACACCCGCTGGAGCAGTCTGTTCCCGAAGGGCTKCGCCCCGAAAATCAGGAGCGCGAAGCCAAAAATCAGCCTGGAAAGAAGAGGAGGCAATGATGATGTTTTAACATTTGGGTTTACTTGTCATGATCCTGCTCTGATTTGACTGGTACTAAATTAATTTCCCTACGTCAAGATCCTTTTGCCTATGACAGCAATTAATGAGTGATCTCGTCGTGCCCTGATCTCGACCCACGAGCCTTTCATTATATTCCCCTTCTCCTGCCAAGCTGAGGAGGGCAGTGCCAGGGTGGCTTTAGAGGGCACCTGGCGTTCAGCCCGCCACAAGGAGGCACGACCGGGGCAGAGGGACCGAGAAGGGCGGGCAGAGGCCCCCGGTTGTGAGGCGGGTCCCCCGAGCGCCTGGCAGGTGTCCCTGCAGAGCACTCGCCAGAGCCGCGGCCCCCGGTCGCTGCCCCTCACCCTCAGCCCGGGGTCCGCGCCGGTACTCCATGGCGCCGCCATGACACCGCCGTGCGTTGGGGGCGGGGCCACCCCGCGGCATCACGCGCGCGGCCCCGCCCCCGCCCCCGCGCCGCGCACGGTCCGCCCCGCCCCGCCCCCAGGCCCCGCCCCCGCCGCGGCGGCGTCACAGTGGCGCGTTCGGCCGCCCCGGCCCGCGCGTGACGTCGGCGCGTCCCGCGGTCCCGGCGGCGGGGCCGGAGGGAGCGGCAGGTGGCGGCGGGCGGAGCGGAGCGGAGCCGAGCGGGGCCGAGCGGAGCTGAGAGCCGAGCGCAGCGGAGCGGAGCGGCGCGGGCCGGCCCGGCGGGTGAGTCCCCCCGGCTCGGCGGGTGAGTCCCCCCGCCGCCGCGGGTGAGCGCGAGGTGAAGCTGCCGGGTGAAGGAGGTGGTGGAGGCGGCCTCGGCCACCAAAGGCCGCTCCGACAGCGCCCCCTGCGCGGCTGCCCGGGGCAGRGGCAGCGTTGCCTCCCCTCGCCCCTCATGCCGCCGGCGGGGTGGGGATCGAGCCGGAGCGGGCGCCGCGGCCTCCCCGAGCGGGTGAGCGCCGTGAAACAAAAGGCCGGCTGCGCTGTGTTGAGCCGAGCCGAGCCGAGCCGAGCGAGGGGCGGCCGCCGGGCTGGCAGAGCCCTGCCCGGTATTGTTTTGGCTGCCGGGAGGGTGGGGGGTGTCGCCCGTCGCCGCCCCTCCTGCGGGGTCACGTGCCGGGTGTCGGGGCCGCGGCGGCGGAGCCCTGCCCGGGAGCCCTTCCCCAGGCCCCGCACGGAGAGGCTGGGACGGAGAGCCGGGAACGCCGGCAGAGCTGCCCGCTCTCTCCTGTCGGGCCCCACGGCCGGGCCAGGGCCCCATCCGCGGAGCCGTGTGTCTGCAGGAGGCGGCGCCGGTGCGGAGCGAGGTGCGCGCGGAGTGCCGAACCGGGCTCGGGCTGGGGCTGGACTCCATGATCCCGCAGGTCTTTTCCAACCTAATTGATTCTRTGGTTCTGTGACTCGGGAGTTTCGGTGTGCTGGGCAGTTAAATAGGTCAGGAGCATTATCCGTGTCGGCGTCACGCGTGGCGGAATCCCCTGGCCCAGCCGGCGCAGCGCTCTAATTCCCAGGGCGATGTGCAGKGCTTTCGTGTGTCACTTCGCCCCGTGGATGTCACCGCTGTGCCCGGCCGGCCTCGGTCACTGCCGCCGGCGGCTGAGCAGAGTCGCACGGGCGGTCACGGGAGCGCAGCGCGGAGCATCCAGACTGAACTAACTAAGGGTTCCTAATGGAACTGCTTTTGTTTCTTTGTGCTTGACGGCCTCCGCTCAAGYGTTAGCATTTCACCCCTTCGGAATGTTGAGAGGGGACGTGATATGTGAAAACGGGTCCTGCTCTTGAAGCAGTACGTGTTGCTGCCACTGAAAAATCGTTGTAAAATACTAAGTAAATGCAAGGTTTTTGTACGAACAAGACAATCGGACTGGTGAAATAGTTAAACAAAAATTGTGGGGCTTTTAATCTTAGTACAGCTTTTCAGTGATATGCCTGAGAAAGGCTGTGGGTTTTGTTACTGGTATGATTTCAAGGAGGAGTAGGGAGCAGAGCTTCATAAGGTTTTGCTTCTGTCAGGTTGCTAATACAAAAAATCCAGACTTTCTTGCTTTGTTAGCTGCTGCCTCTGGATGGTGGGCTACTTAAAAATAGATTCTGAAGCATCTCTRAAAACGCGATACCAAAAATTACAGTGTGTAATAGCACTGAAGACATGGCGAAGTCTGAATCTTCATTTGGTAATTGTGAGTAAATCTTAAATAGTGGATGTCTTTTCGAGCACTTGCTTTATAGTCTTGTATGCTTTATACTGTGATTTCTTTGCAAGTGTACTGAAGTGCCAGTTGTTTAAATTGTTATAGTGCAAAAATCTGTAGTGAGTGAAAGAAAAAGTTTGTTCTTGTTTCCTTCAAAATATATTGCATCAATTTAGATGCAATTGAATTGTCATTTATTTAGAGAGCTAGAACTGCAGCCTTTTTATAGCCTATTGAATAGTGGGCCCTTGGAAAAACCTTCATGCTGAAATTGATTTTTTTCCTCTCTTCTGTGCGTGTTAATCAAGTCTATATATACRCACAAAGATATGTCCCTGTACGTATTTAGCTTCTAAAGCATTGATAACTTAAGATGAACCAGTTTCTGCTTCATTTTTGCACATTCTTGATTTTGAGTCAGAAGTTAATATTTTCTTTATTAAATAGATTGAAATAGGATACATGCTCAAAATTCAAGATCAGTGCTCCAACTTTAGCATAGGGAACACCCTCATTTTCAATACATGTAGCGTTTTAATACTGAAATGGCTGACTCTTCTGCACTTCACTATTCTTCTATGATTCAGTTCCAAATGAATGTATAAATGTTGGGGGTTTAATAATGTGCAATAGCCAAAGATATAATGACAGGCAACGTGAAGAGCCTTATCACAATCAGCAATTCCTGAGAATATTCTAAGTTTAAGAAATAGATACTAAAAGGGAGGCAAGCACAGGAAACAGTGAGGTTATTTATCTGTTGTGCTATCCAGTGCCATGGACAATTTTAAACATATCTGATAAGACTCAGTAGCTGGAGCTGGTACTGTATTGACAGTAGCAGACTTTTCAGGCAGGAGAGTGATTTTTTTTCTATTAAATAAAACAGCCACTTTCTTTCTTCCCACATTGTGTAGCTTAGGGTGACTTGCAGGGAAGGGCAGAATTCTAGGGATCTTTTTCCCCTCCTGCCCCCTAGTTGAGTTAAAAATTAAAGAGCTTGATGGAAAAAAAATCCAACTGTTTAATTACAGAAGAGCATTTACTCTTGTGAATTAATACTATAACTGCTGAGTTTTCAAGGGGGGAAATGAATTTGTGATAACTTTTTTAGGGTAACGTGTATGGAGTTGCAGAGTTTGGGAGATTTCTGTCATTTGAAGTAGGACTCAGATAGTYGTGTTTGGCTGGTGTTAGTTTAATTTACCAGTGTTTTGCAATTGTTTTTAAAAAGTCAAGATTTTACTCATGGATGAAGCTTAACACTGTAGGAAACTCTTTGTTACTATATAGGAGCTGGCTTCCCCAATACATATCTTTCTGGTTTTGGTTTGGGTGTGTTTTTTGTTCCTTTGTATGTTGGACCTTTTTTGTAATTGCTACTGGGTTTTTTTTCCAAAGACATAAGGGGAAAAAACTGTGCTGGGCCTGATAATTTACTGGGTCTCATAATTTAATGAGCAGTTGACTGAATTGACAAGAAATGGTTTCATTCCATCTTTGCCTAGTAAAAGCTTAAGATTGTTAAGCAGAACCTGAAGTCAATTTGGGAGATAAGYCTGGTAGGAAGTCTACCACTTCAAAATCATAAAGTGTGGAAAAAGTTGACGTGACTTCTCCTGGCAAGCATCGTGAGAGACTTTCAAGGGGACAAAGAGAACAGTACCATGCTGGCTGAGCCTCAGTTTGGATGGGGATGTTGCCCAGTTTGAATTCTTCCTCCTGATCAGTGGCATTGTTCTTCCATCTCTTGCATCTTTAAAATTACAAAATCAGTGTGTGATGGGATGCAGGGGTTTAGGAAGGGATACCTGTAAGTTGCTGCAGATAGCGTAACTCCTCATACTACAGGAAAAAGAGAAAATTAATTGCTATGTATAGAACACACGTCTTACCCAGTTGTCTTCAAAGGAGGAGTCATCATCCAAGAAGGGGTGMGTGTGTAACCACAAGTGTTTGTCAGTCCATTCAGTAGAAATTTTAAGACTGGCTTATGAAATAAATAACAATGTCATGAAACGTAGAGGTTACCTGATGTCAGTGTGTGAACTAGTTCTTTTCAGGACCTTTGCAGCAATTGGAAAGTTGCCTTACCACAATCCTGTAATTACACCTTCCTTGRATTCTTCTAGGCATAATTACATACCTTGAATATGTACATGCATTTTTATTTCCTAAGAAATCTCCCAGAACTGACCCAACCTTTTTCTGCCATCTCCACATAGCATTTTTTATAATGTGCTACCTCTAGTAGTGGAATTGTGAGAGGTAGTAGATAAAAGACTTCAGGTGATACCTATTGAAATAACAGAAAGCCAGCTCCCAAGATGAAGGACTGAACACCACACCCAAAGCATCAAGCTTGTTGCAGCTGTCTCTTTGATCATAGAAAACATAGTATCTTGTCTCTGTGAATTAGTGGAGCCACAATTCTAACGCGATTGCAGCTCTTGGTTTTAGATTGATGTGTGAAGAAAGGAAAGCTGCTAGAACTATGAGAGGAGAAAAGGTGTGGATAGGCCTGTTAATTTTTGCAGTTTTCTTTTGGAAATCATTATAAAAATAGCTGCATGGAATGTTACACGGAGCTCAGCTGTAAAGAAAATCACGTATTTGAGTAATGCTTCATACACTGAAGTCATCTGWACACTGATAATGATAAATGTTTGATCATTTGGTGTAGGGCTATAGCACAGAACACCATAGTGCTCCATATTCTTTCAGGGACTTACCACACCTTGATTTTACTCAACTCTTGCATGTCTGCTCTGTGCTGTATTTTTGCTGAAATTGTTCACTTCTTGAACAAATTGAAATCAGAGGTGACGTTCTTAGGTCTGCTTTAAATCATTCCTATATGTAATGTTTTGCAGCAACTGGAAACTATAGCTCAAAATGTTTAAGAATCATCCAGAAAGCTATAGACCAGAAGGAAGATGTGACTCTGTGGCTCATTAATCTTTTTACAGAGGGCTCCCTGAAAGTGGTTCTTTTAGGTCAAGACCTTCCTGTTTAGAACGTGAGAATGCAACAGAGATGTCTCCCTTCTCTCTCTGAGTTTGTAGATTCCTACTTACCTACTGTCGGACCTTTTTAGGTATTTGTTAGGCATTTAGTTATTATTATGTATTTGTGAAATGACTCAGATTCTGGTTGRTAGCATTCACCTAACGTATTTTGACTGACATTATCTGCTAGCTTGAAGAGGGGTATATTACCTCTGAGGTCTGGAGACTGAGTTGCATCTTTGTTCTCTTCTTTAGAGATCATATGCATTCTTTCCACTATTGAACCTTGGAGCCCATCAGGACATTTTAGAGAAATAAATGAAGGTCCTAATTAGTTTTTGTTGTTGTTTGTTTACCTTACRTATCAAATTTAGGTCATAGAGTTTGTTTATAAGCTCTTATGAGGACATACATGTGTAGATTTATAAAGAAGAAAGTGCTGAGCGGTTCCGATGTTCATTCATTAAATGAAGGCAATGGTCTCTGTAAAAGATGACAAGGATTCAAGGCTCTGAGACTCAAAATATGAAAAGGCAGATTTCTGCTTGAAATACGGAGAAGACCTGGGGGAAATCAGCTGTTCACACGCACTGTTTCCTCAAGCATCTGATACTAGCCCCTGTCAAGACAAGAAACATGGCTAGATGGTCCTTCGGAATGGGATGATACAGATAGTTTAACAAACAGATGTCGGAAGCTATTGTGACTTCATTAGTTTTCTAAATATAAGGAATCACTTATTAGAGGTTAAATTTGCATAAACATAACAAGCTCCTAACTTTGGACTTGATTTCTCCTTTTGTGTACATGGTCACTGTGTGGAAATGAGCAATTAACTTTCTATAGCCAAAAATAATTGCCTTTTATAATGCATRAAAAATGAGTTGTTAAGCCAGACATAAAAATAGAAACTGTGCATCAAAACTGATGATTGTAAAAAAAACCCCAGAAGTCCTATGATAGTTTTATTGAAAATAGCTTGCATCATATAAATAAAAGCATAGTAATTTCTTTTCTGTAACAGAACCATGCTTGCTTGCTCGTAGCTCTGAACAACATTGTAATGGTGGTGTTATTTGCTTTCTGTTAGTTTGCAGAGAAGCTGAAAYACTGTAGTGTACCATTGGCAGGACGAGTCAGGAATGAGCCAGCCTTGCGAAGGAGGACCTGCCATCCTAGCTGGAGATATCTGAAGAGAGGACTTTTCAGTCTTGTGGCATGCTTCAGTAGAAATTATTCAGAAAAAGTAAGCCGTTGTTTTGTTTATGAACTTAAACGTATCATCTCCTTGATGGACTGCTTAGTTGCAGCTGGAATTTGACCTGGAATTTGAAGTAGTTTTGTGTGAATTTACTTTTTCTTCCATTAGAGTCCAAGAAGGCCTGGGGTCTTTTCATGTAGTTGTTATTACACATCACCTCTTCCATACTTCATGCATTAATGAAGGCCTCTTAGCTTAGAAATTAAACGTATTATTTAATATTAAAAATACAAACCACAARAGCTGGGATCTGGCAAGATTTTGGACTAATTCCTTTTAGGCTCTATTTACGTTAAAATGCGGAGTTCAGGTTCTTATTGTTCCCTGATTTATACCTGAATTCAGTATCTAAATGCTTAAAATAAAATTATTCTTAGCATTTTTTTCTTGAGATGAATTAATTTTTAGCCTCAGTAGTCAAGAATATAATTTTCCATGATGCCAGAAGTGTCTTAAAGGGAATCCAGTTCCCCAGAAAATAGAGCTTTCCTGTTTGAGAATAGTTCTGATATAAAGCCTGTTTTGACTGAACCTTGTTATAAAATATTACTCATAATTTCAGGAAAAATACTGTGTGATCAGTTTTGTTTAATTCTTAATGAAATAYTGGAAGTAGTTCCACAGCCATAAGATAGCAGAATAGCAGTCCTTTATGTTTGTCCTCAGTTCTGAAGGATTACTTCTTCAGTAAAAACCTACATCTATGTACATCCTCCCACCAGCTTATAAAGAAACTCTGTGACCTAGATTTGATATTAAAAAGGTAAACAAAAAAAAAAGATTAATTAGGATCATGCTTAAAAAAAAAAAGTAGTGAGACAACGTCAGTGTCGTTGAGAGAAAACKTCAAGTGCATGATTGTCCTGCATTCTGAGCACATGCAACTGCAGTTGTGTTTATCTTATAAGAGTTTTATGTTCCGTGGTAGCACTTCTAGAGATAAGGGTTTGYTCCTCCAGCTCTATTCATTTTATGCATAAAATTTTCCTCAGTCATTAAAAATCAAATAGGAATTTCAAGAAAAGGCTTTTACTCCATTTCATATCCTGCATTATTATCTTGATCTAGTAAGGAATCAAAAATTGCTTAAATTAATGGATGATCTATTGAGCACAGTTCAAATGTGAGCATATTTTGCTTTGCTTTCAGTGAACCATATGAGAACTTTTAATTCTTCTTTTAGTTTACCTCAGGGTAAACTGTCGTCAGTTTAGCTCACTGTATCAGAATTKGGTTTGTCAAAGTGCATTGCCTTTTTAATCCTTGCATTGCATTTTAATCACATCCAAAATCTTAATTATGGTACGTGACTTGTACAGAAGTTACCTACAGGTTGTTTTAATCTTTTCTTTCACTCTGAAAAAGAATAACTTTATAAAGGCTATTCAGGGAGGAGCATCCTTTTGTAAAACTGTAGCATGGAAGTAAAAATCTCTGCTGCTGTGCCTTTTTGCACTGTAGTATCTCGTGGGGACACTTGAAAATTCAGATCCTTTATCCCAGCCASGGTTAGCACAAATTGATCAATGAATGGATTTCTTTTCACCTCTTCTGTTGTGAAATAATGGCTGGGTTSTGTTTGTCGGTATTCTGAAATCTCAGTAGATTTTCATCTCCCCTTTTTCTAATAAGTTTCTTGGTATAAATCCCTATATTTGCTGTAAAAATCTATTGCAAAATACATCCGCAGAAGTGTGTGAGGCTTCCAAAAACCAACTTGTTCACTGCGTTGTTAGAATGGATCTCACAGATATGTGCTGTGCAGTAAAAACACAGTTACCAGCTGGTAGGTAATGCTGTGTCTGTATCTGGCATGCTGATTTAAGAACTATTATGCAGATTTGTCATTAATCACTAAAAAAGAAATTTAGATATGAAACTGAAATATAGGTGGATACAATTATGTGCTACTTCAGGGGAAAGTATTTGAGCTGTAAAGCTTTTAAAAGAATTATTTGATGAAAAAAGGATTAAAGAGGCATTGGTCTTTCAAGAGGAAATTATAGTGATAGAAGGGAACAGACAGCATAGGAAAATAATATTTTACGTAAACAACACATAATATACTATTGTAAGGATAAATATAGATACTGAAGCATAATTTTTTTTTTTAATCCGAGCATATATTTTTAAGATTTTTTAAGCAGTGGAGGCTTTTACAGTAATACTAGGCATTTCCTCTTGAGGTAACATATTTTGCTGGAAATGTGTATGTCCAGGAAGCCTGTGGTATCTCCATCCTTGCAGGTTTCAAAAAAAAAAAAAAACAGCTAGACAAAGCCAGATCTAATCCAGTGTTGGTGCCATGTAGAGCAGGAGACTGGACTACATGACCTCCTAAGGTCCCTTTTGACCCACATGTTTGTGGTAGTTTTGCATGAACTATTCCTAGCTGCCCATACAATAAAGACTACTCTCACTGAAAGGCTGTTTTGTTGAATATCAGTCTTGAAGTTCCTTGGTGACTTTAAATGAAAAAAGGGCACCTTTTTAGGCCCCATTCCCCAAAGCCCATTCTTCTCCCTCATTTGGTATCTGGTGTGTGTTTTTGATTGTTAATAAATAAAAGGAAAATTACCATGAAACAGACCGTGAAAGATTGCCATGGCAAAAACGTAGTTGAGAAGGCATTTGYATATTTAGGCTAGAATTTTTCAACTACTTAAATCCTCCACAACGCCAAAGTGACGCAGTTTTGCATTCCCCATTCTCTTACAGTTACAAAATCATCTTTAATGACAGCAATGAGATATGGCCAGAGAAAGTAAAGGCAATGACTTCACAAGCCAGTCAAGTCAGAGTTGCATGTCTTCTGCAATACACTGCTGCTTCTACTGGTCTGCAGTGATTCTTTTCGAGAGGCTCTCACATGTATCAGGGAGTTCGCTTGGTATTTAAGAAAAAGGAATCCAAGTTATCTTTTGAAAAGGCCACTTCAGCTTTCAAATCTGGTTCTTGCTGCAGCCTGTGGTTGTTCTGAGCCCAGTTCCAGGGATAGTGTACCATCGTGCATGGCAACTAAGAAACAGAATGGGGGAACACTTCAGCCAGGAGCTGCTGTCAGGCATATTTTCTACTGTGTAACCCTAGTCTGAGGTACTATTCAGGCAGTCCCTTAATCAAACAGATGATCACTTGTAGTCTGAAGAGTGGTTGTTTAATTTCAGTTTGCAGCCAGGTCACCTCTTGAGGAAAGAACCGTAATTTCTTTCAATTTCCTGAGGAGGCACCAAAGTAACYGGTTAGCTGAAGGTTCATTAATCAACACTACTTCAGAGAATGAACAGAGGAAACTCCAAAATTTGTTTTCTAACTTGGTATGTTAACATSCTGAAAATTCAACAGATTAAAGATTGGTGATTAGCAAAAGGAATTTTCTGAGTACTCAGTTCTGTCTATCACCTCAGGAMATAGAATGTTAACCTATCAATTTCTTTGATTTGAGCTTCATAAATGGTAACTTAATTTGAGSTAAACATCTCATTCTGTGGATTTTGAGGTCAAATGTGATGTGACACTTAATAAACTGATTTAAATCTCTTTGGTCCTGTGCAGGATGGCTGGCTGTGGTGAAATAGATCATTCRATCAACATGCTTCCCACAAATAGGAAGACAAACGAGTCATGTACCAATGCAGCACCTTCCCTGCCWGTCCCTGAGTGCGCTATCTGTCTGCAAACGTGTGTCCATCCAGTAAGTCTGCCTTGTAAACATGTTTTCTGCTATCTGTGTGTGAAGGGAGCTTCTTGGCTTGGGAAACGATGTGCACTCTGCCGGCAGGAGATTCCAGAGGATTTTCTTGAYAAGCCAACCTTATTGTCACCTGAAGAACTCAAGGCAGCTAGCAGAGGCAATGGAGAGTATGCCTGGTACTATGAAGGTAGAAATGGCTGGTGGCAGTATGATGAACGTACCAGCAGAGAGCTGGAAGATGCCTTTTCCAAGGGTAAAAAGAGCACTGAAATGCTAATTGCTGGCTTTTTATACGTAGCAGACCTTGAAAATATGGTTCAGTATAGAAGAAATGAACATGGACGTCGCAGAAAAATAAAACGGGACATAATAGACATACCAAAGAAGGGAGTGGCTGGGCTGAGGCTGGACTGTGACACCAACACTGTCAACCTGGCACGAGAGAGCTCCGCTGACGGTGCAGACAGCACACTGACTCCAGGGGCTGCAGCTGTGCAGCCTCTAGCWTCCATTTCTGTGAGGCCCCTGCCAGCACTAGATGGTCAGCTCATGAGCCCTTCAACACCGTCACCTGATGCAAGCAATTCTCTAGAGAACTCTTTTGCCCACTTGCAAATAAATGGAGACAGTATGGCTGAAAGGAGTCACAGGGGAGAGGGAGAGGAAGACCACGAATCATCATCTTCTGGTAGGGTGGCAGCCCCCGACACCTCTGTTGAGGAGACCGAATCAGATGCCAGCAGTGACAGTGAGGATGTGTCTGCCCACCTTCAGCAACACCCATCCTCTGGTCAACAGAGACATTTGAATGCCAGTGCAAGCCAGCCAGGAGCAGATAGACCAGGGGCAGGGGGTGGGGTGGCAAACACAAGTGTAAGATCTAGAAGGCCAGATGGACAGTGCACAGTCACTGAAGTTTAAATCTAGAGCCATGCAAAAAAACAAAAAGAAACAACTCGGTTGTAATTTTCTGTAAATTTTCTGTCTACATTGGCATTGCACCCAAACCTAGCAGCTTGTTTGGTGGGAGGGTGGGGTGAGGGGGAGAAACAGATTTGGCCTGTTTTAACTTAAGTCTCTTAACATGTCTCAGCTGGAAGACTCTAACTCTAGGAAACTGGGTTGTCCTGTTAATGGTTTGAAAGCTGTTTAGCAATGCCCAGTTTTCTTGAAAATGTTTTGTGTTTATTTTGTAGTATTTTCCCCTTGAAGATACTCTATCCCTTTTTGGCCAATGTATATCTACTGTACAACTTGAATTGTCTTCATTATCTGACTGTTGCATTAAGTGTCTTACTACTTTCTGCATGGATTGATGTATGAAAAGAACACTAAAGCAATGTGGAATCAGGCAAGGTGTTGGGTGTGAGCAGGATGCTTAATTTAATGTGAGAAAATAGATGTGAGTTTGGAGTTAAAATGTGTTTTTACTAGAAAAGAGCAATCATTTACCTTCTTTCAATGGAAATGTAAAAATGCTGTTAACTTGTGTTGCAAATCCTTACACTCTCCATGGCTTTTTCACTGGCTTTGCCATCTAGTCCTTGTAGTTTTGTTTTTTGAGGTCTTTCTTGATCTGTCTTGTTTTTGTTACAGAATTTATAATTTAATAAAACTACATTTTATCAGTAACAATCTCTGATATGTTTGCAATTTAATTGAACTTCACTGAAGGAATTTTTTAAAAAATTGTAAAACAGCTTCCTGTCTTTACCAAAAGGGAGGACTAGCTCTTAGTACTGTCCTGAAATTCTTGCATCCTTGACTGGCTGTCTCTCAAACACAACACTGTAGGATTATCATCTTCTACTGAAAAATCATGAGTTGCAATCTTAATAGTTACACAGATATCTGAAGAGCTGTTTAACTCATTTCACTGTTGAGGGCAGGCAGAAGTATCATACAGAGCCTTAACAGCAGAATTGTTGAAATAAAAGAGTGTAAGTTRTTAAAGTTGACCCTAAAACAAAGGACACAGATACTAAGGACTATAGCGCTGTTTATCTGTTCATAGCAAAACTAGTCACAGCACAGGAATGGTAATTTTGTGCTTGTATTAGCAATCTAGGAGCTGCATTTCTACAKATTTCAGAATATTAGAAGCCAGATCTTGAGAAGTACACCTTGTCTTTTCTGTCTCAGGCAATTGTTTTACATTTTTTTCAGATTGAGAAACAGCATTAAGTTGATGCTGGACTCAGTCTTTAAAATAAAGCTAATTAAACTCCAATTCTTAGTATATGTATCCCAGACTAGAAAGGGACAGTACTSATGCATAGGAAATACTGATCTTAAGACAAAAGTTGTTTTAGGCTAATAACCATTTGAAGGGAATTAGAAGGACCCATTTTAAAAATGGTAGATTTAAATTTCTGTAATGTTCTTACTGTAATAATGGATGACATGTCTGATTTGGACCAAGCTGAAAGCTGTGCTTGCCCTCCTCTGCCTACAGGTGAGATCACAGGGTCAGCAAAGTGCAGATGAGACGAGGGTGGAATAAGGAAGATTTCCTTCATTCTCAGCTAGGAATAGATAGGAAATAAGAATATATTTCCTATAAAATAGCAAAAKATCTAAAATCTTGATCACAGATTTTTACTATCATCTTCCAGTCTCATATGKAAATAAGCCAATAGCTTATTTCTAGAAGGAAACTGGATGGAATGGTTTGTTTTGTTTTTTTTTTTCTGTTAGTTACTAGCTGTCTTAGTTCTCTGATTTGAGTTAGTATACTGTGGCTCTAACCTAAGTCTGACTTTGTGCTGCAAAAGCCTTCCCTGAGAACACTTCAGCTATGTGCACACACTTTACTTTGTGAGAGTACGGGTTCAAAAAGGCAACAAGCAAAATATAGGAACATGACTTAATATATACTTAATTTCAGGATTTTCAGCCCAGTCTACAAATAATTTTACCAGTGATTTACCTTGGAGTTTTTGACCCAAGTAGAGAGTTCAGCCCCACACCTGTGATGCTGCTTTGGTTCCTGCTGGCTGACTGCAGCTGTGAAACACTAAAATTAATTTAAGTAAGGCTGGTGAGAGCTTAATAGCCAGTCATTAGAGTGGSAAATGCACTCCCTAGATCAAGCTAAGAAAAAGTAGTAACTGATAATTCCCATTTTATATTTAAACCATTACTTTCAGTAGGAAATGTGTTCTCTGTCTATTTTAGCAAAGCCACAGCCACACTGCATTAAGTGGTTGACTGTAATTCCATGCACTAAGACTTTTAACYTGTACAGCATAGSTAGAGAAATGCACAGTGGAGCAGAAGGGAAAATGAAAAAGGAAATTTAAATGCTATAAAATCTGCAGTATCTCATAATTTCCAGAACAGATAACTACAGTTATAGGAACCCTATGTCATGGCTAAAACATAAATCAGATAGTGAACCWAACATTCTGCAAGAACACCTTGCTTCTCTAGCTTGGCCATTTGGTAAATATATTTCTATCAGAAGTATCTATATTGCTATATATAGCAATATATATATTGTTATCTCCAGTACTCAACCTTTACAGGCTTGGTACAGAACCCACACTCCYATTAAACCCTCAGGTTGTCCCAGTACACAAAGGGAAAATGACATTTCACAGTGTAATAGGAAACTTAGTTTACCGAGGAGAGAGCTAGCAAACTAGCCCCTAGGAAGTACAAAAGCTGGTGTGCTATTTAATTAGGAGACTTGGACTATCAATTTTGATGTTTCTTATTTATTTTGCACATTTAGTGCTTGTTTGTTTTTAAGCCATTTCAGAAGCAAAAAAAAAAAAACAACAGCCTTGAGATGAAACTTGACATCTTAATAATTGTAAAGAAAATAAAAACACTTATCAACTGCGGGTTAAAAGTATTTGTTGCTTTAAGGTGGTAAGAAAGTATTCTGTGAAATAAAGCATTTAGCTTTCAAATGGCTAAAATGGGATTCCATTTCATCTCAGCCTGGAACTCCCATCTTAGCACTCATGGTAATTTAGTTGGGTTGGTTTTTGTGTGAAGGATTCTACTTCCTTTTAAAAGAAATCTGAGAATATGGTATTAGACTACTCACAGAATCCTTTATCAAAATCTGTAATGATCTTCAGAATATCCTGTACCTATGCTATATTTATGATACCAACAAAATGGGTTTCCATAACCCTTTCTGAAACTGTTCTGAATGTGTCTTGCTCTGTACTAGTTAATTATTGGTCCTGTTTTCTTAGAAGCAAACACTGGCCTTTCATACAAATCAGAGAGGGTGGCTGGGGAAACATCTGCAGAAATGAGAAGTAAGCTCATTGTCTGTAAATCAWAATGGAAAGAGATCCCCCACAGGTGTACATACCATTCACTTACTACCAGCACAGATCTGGTTCAAAATGTGAAAGAAACCAGATTCTGTCTTTGTCCTATAATTTCCTCCCTATCAAATTTCTATCACCCAGTACACAGAATACACTTAGGAGCTGAATACACTAAAGAAAAAAAGATTCAAGGGTCTTGCTCAGCTTCTAAGCAATTTTCACACCAATTTTAAAAACATAATTACAGTATTAGTAATGGCACATTCATTCTTGCTAAAAGCAAAGACAACCAGTTGCCCTTTAAAACACTTTTTTTTTTTTTTTTCACTCACAACGTGATGTGCTATTGCTTCAAAAAGCTGGATGGGTACTGGAGTGTGCCCTGAAAGTTCAGTGATGCTGGAATCTGGAATCCCTCATGAGTCCTGAGAAACTTCATGAAAAGCAGAACAGCTTCATTATTAAACCYGTCAAGTGCTGCCTAACTATACTATTCTGAAATAATGGGTTTGAAATTCTTTAGGGCATGGGAAAGAATCCAGCTACACATAGAAGTAACAACTGGGCTACTGGATAAAAAGGGGCAGTGGGGGAAAAGGCACAAATGAAAACACTACTCTCTCCCCATGTTTTCATTCCTATCTSTTCTCTAACCTGAAAGTAAAGATTGAACTTTATTTTTGGGGCGAGAGATCTGAAATTTTCCTCCATTAGTGCTTCAGATATTAAAGCAAAGGTGCAGGATCAATAGCATGCAGGTAAGCTCCTTATCTTCTCTGAGGCACCAACTCAAAACACATCCCTTCCTTCACCATTCTCTTGGTTGCTTCAGGCTATATTCAWTGCTGTGAAAATCATACAGTAAAACATCCCCAGCAGATCACAGAATCTGTTTGAAACCTGCAGAATCTTAACAGGCAATTCAAGCCTGATTCCCAACATGGATTTTTCCCCAAATCCTCAAACATATGTAGTTACCTTGCTGTCTAAAGCTCAGGAATCCTGCCACACTCTAGAAACTGTAACGTGGATTTCCATCCAAGATACTGCCTTCTTTTCTTAAGGGAGCTTGTTCCATGAACTAGAGCTAGTTATGCCTGGTCAGAGCAAGAATGCACGTCAGTGGCACACAGCCCAGAGCTTCCTTCTTAACATGCCCCCACAGAGTACTTAGGTCCTTGGCTCAGATCTCAATCCCTGCTGGATTTAGCAACAAGTACATCCTAACCAACAGTACAAGAAACTTAGTCACAGATATGTCTCTATGGTTTTGCTCTCACTGATTTTTTTTTTTTTTTTTTAAAGTAGGCACTCTGTGTCAGCTTCTAATTTCTACAGGGAGAATTTTCCCCACTGAGTTATCCAATAATTTGCATAGTCACTAGCATGGAGACTGAGTTCCAAATCTACTTGTCAGCCCAAATATACCCTACCAGTAAAAACGCATCGAAGAAAGACATAGACATATCCACATACATCTTACCAGAATGCTGAAGTATTCACATYACCCAGTCATTTAAGGACAAGCCATTTTGGGGCATGATACACCARGGCCTTCCAAGATTTCAACTAGATTCTGTGTACAGAACCAGGTCAGCAGCTTTGCACAGGTACTGGGTATGAGAATGTGCAGATGCATATGTAGATAGTTGATTCCTTGAGCAGTGAGAAGACACCAAAATTTATGTAAAAACCTGAATCAGTGTCAGTGAATGAGTGCTAGAAGCTTCTCACTAACTTAAAGCTTCTCCTGTGAAAGCACCATTAAAATTGAAGCATCCAAGGATACTTTCTCAGCATTTGTACAAGGAGCTAACTAGAGATTAAAAAATAAAAACTACCTTCTCACTAATTATCATCTCTTCCAAGCTGCTTAAAGATACTGGTCGTATGTTGGGGAACTYATATTTTGCAGCTTTAGGTGCATCTGTTCTGCAAATAGATTAACCTCCTAATTTTCAAGTAATTAATTTCCATACCAGATAAAAAAAAACAAACTAACATAAAATTAAATAATCTTCAGCCTCGTTCCAAATGAAATATAGTTCTATTTTCAACACAGTATTTACCTTTACATATAGATTTCACTAATCTCCATTCAGTGGGTGATTAGGGCAGTAGAGAATCTGTCTGGGATTACTCTGTGGTTGCATACCAAATATGCCTGCCTGACCTAAATGGCAGGAAAGTTAATGCCATTTAAAATGGACAAGTCCTTCAATTATTCCATTTAATGGCTGCTTTAGTGAAAGCTTTTTTTTTTTTTGCAAAAAGGTCAAGACCATATCTTATGCCTAAACCATCATTTATGTTTTGGTCTTCTAACCAGTGCCTGCAAATTGGCAGGCCCACCCCATACAGTTCCGAAAATGTCCTTCTCTGTTCTTAGGGCAGCTTCCAGTGGGAGCTCTCTTCCTGCTGTCACCACGTTTTTCACAGCCCGACTCACAGTGGCTGGAGCGTCCGTGTACTGACTCAGCCAGGCTCGGGCTTCTCCCARTGCTCTGGTTTCATCTGAGGACGGCAGCGTCTGGTCGGAGAGGCCCAGGCGCAGCGCTCTCTCGGGGTCCACCCGGGCAGCCCCGCCCAGCAGCTGCAGAGCTGCCCCGCTGCCCACGATCCGCACCAGCCGAGCAGCTCCTCCCCAGCCTGGCACCAGGCCCATGGACTTGTGGACAAACCGGATTTCACTTCCAGGTGTCATCAACCTGTCAAAGAACAACAAACACACCRAGGTCAATCCATGCATCCACTTTCGTTTTCAGCTCAATGGTCCTTAATTTCTATTTTCTGCTCCCCTCTCCTTCCAAAGGCTGAYACAACTTGACAGAGTGCTCATTACAGCCGAAGCTGGAGTAATCTTAATTTTTACATCACATGGTGCCATAACTACAGATTTTGGCCTTTCTCAAAATTATATCCATAGGCTGCTACAAGTAAAGATGCTTAGTGCCCATACCGATACCTGTACTCTGTTCTAAAAAGTGTTGAAAACAGAACAGCAGACAGAGGATGTTACATTCATTCACAGTGTGACACTGCCTTGCTAATTCATGCCTAAATCAAGAGGGTAAAATACAAGCAAACTAATGTACAAAACAYTTCTCAAGAGGATGGATCGTGGTCTTAGTACTGATCTGGAGAGGTTCTGCCAGCATTCTCATGATTACAACACAGGTGGGGCTTTTTTGTTCAGTATTTTAAGATCAATGTGAGTTTGATTTCTAACTGCTCATTACAGTGAGGGAAATGGGGAGGGATGCTCAACTTGTGGCTCACAATGCACATAGAATTGCTTTCTATTTATGCTTGCAGYGTGTCATAGAATTGCTCCCCTCTACAAGATAAGCCACATTCCTCTTTCCAAAGATTTCATCTATTTCTTTCCTATACATCTTTTCTACAGCTTCTCACCTCCTTTATTTAAGAACTCACCCTAGAGCTGATTAAGCTATCTCCCTGGAGGAGCTCTGCTGCAGCAGACTGTTCTCGTCTTCGCACAGTGGTCACACTGACACACSTTAGGTTAGTGGAAAAACCCTCTAGAAATAGAAACATATAGAGAAGATGTACGAAAACAGACCAGTGCTTGCTCTTTCTCAAGGTGATACTCTGCAGCATGGTTGCTTGCTGCTGATTGTAAGGCAAAAAATGGAAATTACACTTGTGAAGTAGATTAGCTTCTACTTCAAGCACTAATTGGCTTTTTGAAGACAAGTCTTGTAATACTCAGGTCTACAAACAAGTCTGTTTCCTAACAATGCAGTTTTCCACGGTGAAAATACCAAGGTGAACAGCTTTGAAAGGGGAAAGAAAAGGAAAACCTTTAAAAATGCARCTTCTTCTAGGAACTCACTGTTCTCAAATCTGCTTAGTTATTGTTAATTGTAAGTTTGCTTGGTTGCTTTATTYGTAACCAGAGAACCATCAGCATTCATGCCACACTCTACAGCATCAGAATTGAAGAGCTTAAGCTTTATCCCAGATCCAGCACAATGCACAAAAGCAACAGCTGACGGGCCAGATTGCATGAAAGCCTTTTTGTAGAGATAGCAGAGGAAGGTTGTGTGACAAAAGGAAGAAAGCAGARTAGTGCAGGGGAGGAAAGGCTTTAAGCTAAAATTATCAAGTGCTTCCCAAACCCAGCAAATCCCAGGGAGCACAGGTCTCTTCTCTCCAAAAGAATGACTCTGCAAGTATTAGAAAACTTCTTTACTGGCTCAGCTTGCTCTGCAATTTGCTCACACCCAGTGTCCCACTGGAAAAGCAAGAATGAAAACATCATTAAGGGTTTAATGCTAACTGTTGTGAGTGATGTGAGGCACTCAAAAAGAAGGGGTCACAGGCACCTGGGCATCTGATGCTAGACAGCCTGTAGGCAGTCTCACAGGACAGTCACCACAGGTCAGGGAGGCCATGCTGAACTTGCACATTGAATCTGAGATGGTTTCAGACAATGTTTAGTATAAGGGAAGGGCTCTGTTTCCCTGCAGAGTCTTCACCTCCCTCAGAGAAAATGGAACCAAACACAATGAAAGGAAAATAAACCACTGACAGCATAACKGACAGAGAGACTGCGAGGCTGCAGCTTCCAAAACATCACTGGGATTCACCTCTTCCCACAATGCTCCTCTGAATAAGTTCCACAGAAGATACTGAGGTAAGTAGTAGTCAGTGGAAGGTGTAACTGCAGTATTGGAGTGCCTTCAGGCTTAAGAAAGATACCTATGGTTTTTCAGACTTTTCAACTATGAATCCTCTCCTGAAGTCATACCATTTCTTATAGAAACCACTCATCACACTCTGTGTTAGATTTATCACTCACATTCAGTCCCCATGCCCCAGGAAGCAATGGAGACCTGAGATCATGTCTGAAGAGGTGGAAGCAGCTGCCAAACCACCCTGGGATCAGCCTCTGAACACCACCACCTGCAGCCTTGCATACATATTTCCCTTTTTATTGTACAAAAAGAATTGAGTCTACCTTCTGAGACATGACAGATCTGATCTCCTATTAAAAAAATTATGTAAGAAAAGCACATCAAGCATTACTCAACACAGAGAGGGAGACATCAAAAAGCTGGAAAGACCAAAGTACTATTCCTGAGCTGTTTATACCTTATTTATCTAGTACTGGCCCTGCCTGAGACAGAACAGTAGATGAATACAAAATTAACCCTGATCTGAACAGTATGCCTGTTCTTGTCTTTCAGGTCAAAGGAATTAAAATCTGGGTCCCCTGTATCCCAGGGGAAGGTCATATTGCTAGGCTCCTACACACATGATTTCCCTGCCCTAATAAAGAAAATCTGTTGCATGACAGTACTGAGAAAGTATTTATTCAATGTAATTAATGTACAAAGTGACAGAAGACCTTACAGTAAGCAGGGAAACATCCTTCAGAAATGTGAAGGGTAGCAAAATCCTCACAACTTGAATTGGAAGTAAGAGGTCAAGGTAATATAAGCCGCAAAGTGCAAATGAAACATTCTTTGAGAACATTTTATTTCCATGTTATGAACACTACAACCCCCCCCAGGAAGAAAGCACAGCCACCATGGGCCACATCCAATTCTGTGTTAGTCATCTAAAGCAAACGAGCTACAGCAAATGTTCCTGCTGTACATTTTAAAATGTTCTCAGCTGCACTAAATGTTACAAATCCTCCCCCTTTGATCTGAGGATTCCTTCATTCTGTGACATCTCATTGTACCCACAAACAATTGACTGTCACATCGCAWCTCATCACATCACTGGCAATGCACGTGAGAAGAAACCCTGTCTGTTTTTAACACTGCAGCCTTACAAATCCCACCCTTCTAAAGGTAGATTTGCTCCCCACAGGCAGCACTTGCTGTGAGCTAACAGCTATGCTTTCCTTCACTAAAGTATTTCCCAGCCACCTGAAGCCAGAGAATATACAATGAAAGCTGAAAATGCAAACAAAAATATACTTACCCAATTTTTCATACCCGCTAATTATAAATATTAATGTTAMTGAGCTGTTCCAATGGGTATAATCAGTTCCTTGGCAGAAGTAAGATTATATTAAGATCTGTGCTGGCCCTTACCTCATCATTTCCTGGACTTCAAGGTTTGAGTTATATTCAGCATTCTGACAAGGCAAAGGCACTAATCAAGTTTACTAGGGAGGGACAGATATCACCCTCTATTCTATGCATTTTAAAAGCTCCTAAAACGATGCTTTTGAAACCTATTAAAGGAAAAAAGGATGGCTAAAACATTATATATGATGTCAGCAACCTGGATTTTGTTCCTGTTCCCTGTTTGACTCCCAGTGTCACATAAGGACAAAGCTCCTGACTTCCGATCTTCCCCTTTTAGTTGGCATGAGAATGGCACACCAAGGAGGGAGGCAGCCAGCATCACGCAGTGCTGCAGCACCTGGTTCCCACCTGTGGYTGTACCGAGAGAGCAAAGCCAGAACTGCAGATGACTTTTATCTCCCCCACAAATATCTCAGCATCCTGCTCTCAAACCATCATTACTAATATAAATAACAAATAGAGCTTATGTCTTTAGGTCACAGTAAGTTCCCTCACAAACCTGCTACCTTCTTCWATAAATTCCAGTGACACCCACCTGCAAGGTGATTGAACCAACATACAGTGGAAAATTCTCCAAAACTGAGAGTCAAAGGCCTTGGGGTGCAATTAAGACATCTATGATTTTAATATGCTATAGAGCAATGGTTACAAAAATAATCATAAACCTTCAAGTCGAACTATGTATTTTGCAAAGCATAGATGCAGGACACCCAGACAGATGAAAAGCAATGTCTGTGGTGAGCCACATACCCACTGTGGTGCAGGGAGATGGGGAATGGGGATTAYGGTTGGTTCATGACATTCTGTCTCTGTCACTGCTCAGGGAGAATTCCTTCCTCTGCTCCCATGTGGGGTCCCTCACACAGAGACAGTTCTCTGCAAACTTGTCCAATGTGATTCATTCTTTCACAGGGTGCTGTCTTTCAAGAACAGCCTGCTCCAGGTGGGTCCACAAGTCCTACCACGAAACTTGCTCCAAAAAGGGCTCATCTCTCCACAGGTCTACAGGTCCACAGGTCCCTGCCAGGAACCTGCTCCAGSCCAGGCCTCCCACAGGTTCACAGACCTCATTTGGGCATCCACTTGCTCCAGTGTGGGTCTTCTTTAGGGGCTGTAGATGGACCTTTGCATCCCCGTGAGCTGCAGGGGCACAGGTGCCTCACCATGGCCTGTAGGGGAATCTCAGCACCTGCAGCACCTCCTTCCCTCCTTCTCCACTGAACAGCTCTTCTCTGGCTGCAATTACAAGTGCACAGTAACTTTTCTCTCCTTTTTAAATCTGTTATCACAGAGGCATTACCATCATTCCTGGTTGGCTCAGCCTTTGCCAGCAGCACACCCATCTTGGAGCCATGTGGCATTGSCTCTACCCAACACAGAGGAAGCTTCTGGCAGCTTCTCACAGACGTCACCTTTGCAGCCCCTCCACTACCAAAACCTGGCCATACAAACCCAAAACACCACTCAAGCCACACACAGAACTACTGCAGGCACAGGAAAAGAGAGATATTAAAGAAAGACGGAAACCACAAGGAAAATGGTAACAGAAGGAAGGTTATCAAGAGTCAAATGCTTGTTTTAACCAGCAAAGAACAGAAGAACAATGTTGATGTGCAATGCTGCCATACACTTTGCCCAAC